TAATCATCAAAATTATTCATACCCTCCAATTAAAGGAGGAAAAAAAAATCAGTTGTCAGTGGAATAATTTGTCATAATACATTTTAAAAAATCATAAAAATCATGACACTGATTTTGAATTGTGGTTCCAATTAAATATTAAAAAACAAAAAAGGAAAAAGAAATAAACAAGCATCATGGGGCACCTGAAGTAAAATTTTGTTGAGCAACTCTTCCAGACAATCACTGCAATCAGGTGTTTCTGTAACGTCCAATCAGACGCCTGCACCTGCTTACAGGTATTTTGACCTTCTTCACGACTGCAAGGTGCTCTAATTGGTCTGGAACAGCTTTGTTTGTCTGTTTTTTAAAAACCACAATTCGAAATCAATGTTTAATTTTACTACACTATATTTTTTTCTATTACTTTTTAGTTATTTGAATTAATACTGTGAATTTAACATTTTCTGTAAATTTGATGATGAATAATTTTGAAGACAACTGTACCTGAATATAATACAGCATATTATAAACTGAAGAGCAGACAGACCTTTGTAAATCAGGCTCATCAATTTGGAAGAGGCATTTCTTCGTTAATAATAATTAGGGCTGTCAAAAAATGAATCCTGATTAATCACATTGCTTTTATCACTTTTAGAACACATATAGGATTAAAGGTGTCTCAGTAGGAATTCTGCATTTCTCTTTAGTAGACTACACTACTGAAACCCTGTCCTTCCATGTCTCCCTAAACTCCTCCAGGTGGAGGCAGTTTGGTCCAGAATGCTGCTGCTACCGTCCACATAGGCTGACTTCACAACTGTATTAACGTGCAGCTGAAATTCTGCTCTGAGTCCTGGACTACTCCCAGATTTATGGCTTGGTATTATAATCTTCAAATTGTGAGACAAAAATTAATGTTTTTTTGCATATAGAAGTACTAATTAATAAAACAATCTCTTGTTTGACAAAATGATTAATTTAGGATTAATTTGTTGACAGCCCTAATAATAATACAATGTAGAAATAAGTAGATACAGTTGTCCCCAAAATTATTCATACCCTCCAATTGAAGAAAGGAAGAAAAAAAAAAAGCTGTGAGCAAAATAAAATGAAACCGACAAAAGTGATTAAAAGAAATTCTGTAAAAATCATGACATTTATGTTGAATTGTGATTCATAAGAAATATTTAAAACAAACCCACAAAAAAACTTGTCTGTAATCTGTAAATACAAAAAATTATGGCTCAAAATACATCTATACATCAAGCTAAAAACTTACTGTAGATTGCCTCCAATTTATTTTTGTCCAGAGGTAAACGTGCATCCCCTCTGCCTCGTTTTCCCCCTCGAAGATTGCTCACCAGCAGTGTCTCTGTTGGGAATACTGCTGTGAGCAGATGCCTCACAAAGACTGTAGCAGAATTTGCATTAATAGCATAGGCCCACGCAAGTTTCGCGATCATGACTCCTGTCCCAGGATGGATCTCCACCTGATCAAAAAAAGGAATTTAATGACAATTTAGGACCAGTATCAGACAATTCAAGCAACACTACATAACTTTCAGCTTAAAACTCTGTTTATGACTCATTTTGATGGCGCTGTGACATTTATATACATTGCAATGTCCTAAGGCTAACAGAAAGCACTTCACTACTTTTTCTTTTGTTGTGGTGCATCACTTGTGACCTGTGCTGGTGTGTGACATCACAGCATAGCTAATTCAGCAAAGACACCAAAGAGGACATCAGATAAAGAGATGAAATACAGTGAGATGAGACAAGAGTCAACATGAAACTGACTTTTACTGACTTGAAGAGATCTCAAAGAGACAGGATGCAAATGTTGGATTAGTAAATCTTTGGGGGTTGGTAGGAAATCTCTCTAAGGCTGTAATGCATGAAAAGCTAATTAAATCTGTCAGATGTACAGTAGCAGTAAGTATGGGCATGTTTCCCCATTAAATCTAATGAGAAAGTGTGTCCAAGCCTTTGACTGGTCCTGTATCAATTAAAAATGTTCCTGATAGACAGTAGATCCAATTTATGCACCTTATTTATCCTTTAAAAATACCTTTGACGACTGGGACTCTATTGTAGATGGAGTGACAGACTCTGATGAGACAGATGGAACAGATTTGGGAATGGGCATCTGTGAATCATCAGATGATGAACCCGGCCTGGACTGTGTAGAACTCTGGGGGAGCTCAAAACTTGATCTCTTAAGAGGCTCAGCTAAATCAATCACATTTTTCATAGTCTTCATGAGTTCGGGCACATCTGTACACAGTAAAACAGAGATGAAAGGTGTTACACTCATTGTTTAAACAAGTGACCTCTTAAAGTATATTAGTTTTGTAATTATTTAAAGAGTGATACCTTCTACAAGCAACTCCCTCAGTTTGGCATTCTCTTCTTTCAGGTCTTGGATCTCTCGCTTAAGTTCAACCACAGTCTTTTTTGGACTTTGGTCACAGTCAGTGACTGAAAGTGGTGAATGACTGTACATTGCAAGGAATTCCTTTGCAGGGTCTTTCCTTGTGAGAGCCTTTGACTTCTGGACATACAAAGAAATTAAGAGAAAGTAACTGACATGATAAGACAAAGAAAAAGCTGATAGTGGAGTTTAGAATCTGAAGTGTAAATACAACAGATTCAATATCTGTGCCCCTAAGTCCGCATACTTTAAAAAGCTGATTTGACAACCAGAAACATCACGGCTTGTTCCAAAGTTCAGACTACTTGGAAGGCAGTTCAAAATTTCAAATAACTTTTTTCACAATTTAGATGGCTACATCTGATTACCGTATTTTCACGACTATAAGGCGCGTATAAACGTCTTTTTTTCGCCTCAAAATGTGCGGCGCGCCCTATGTGTGTTGTTACTGCGGACTTTTGAGACCACCTCATTGAGGAGATGATGAAAGAGTGGCTGAATGTAAGGAGACCAGGTGTTTTTTTTTCAACTCATCACCACTGCTGTTAATCTGTGACTCCATGCATGCCCATCTCACAGCTGATGTGAAAAACATGGTGAAACAAATGAACACTGTGCTTGCTGTTATTCAACCGCTCAACATCGGTGTGAACCGGACGCAGCAGAAGCAGCGAGTTTACATGCAAAGTCAATGGTTGACGCGCGTATAGGCGCAGCAAAAGGTCCCGCAGCGCGCTTTGAGCAGCAGGCGCAGCGCGTCGGGAGCGTTTAAGCATCTGACGCGCCGCCAACGCACTGCTGCGGCTCGAGATGGAAAAATTTAAGTTTTGCTGCTGGACGCGCCGCATCAACCAATCAGAGAAGCTGGTCTGGGAGCTGACAGCGAGACAGACACATCGCTAATGATACACATATACACATCGCTGTGATTGCTCCTCTGAAACAGTTTATTGACGCCTAAATTAACTTAACCTGCCGACAGAATATGTTCGCTTTTATTATCCAGTTTTCAGGTGGATTTTCCCACCTAAAAACATATTAAAACTACTTTATTTCCACTGATCACAGCAAATATAGCTGTGTATTTAATACAAAGTAGCCTATTAATCAAACCTTGGAGTACTGGGTGTGAGACAGACACATCGCTCTGATGACATATGGTATTAAGACAAATGAAAAGGGCTGGATGGATGAGGGGATCATGAAAGCGTGGCTGAGGGAGGTGTATGTGAGAAGACCAGGTGTTTTTTTTCCACGCATCACCATCGCTGTTAATCTGAGACTCCATGCGTGCCCATCTCACAGCCGATGTTAAAAAAAGGTGAATCAAATGAACGCTGTGCTCGCCGTTATCCCGGGGGTCTGACAAAGGAACTTCCACCACTCGACATCGGTGTGAACCGGTGTCGAGGAGCCGCGCGGCACGGAAAGTGACTCTGACAGCGAAGAAGGAGAAATTGGCATGTCTGATTTAGCGCAGCTGTTTAATTCAGAAACAGAGGATGATGACTTTGATGGGTTTGATTAATACTTTGTAATAAATACTTAAATAAAGCACAAACATACTCAGTTTTGCTCCCGCTCTATTTTTCTACCTGAAAACTTAATTCAACAGCAGCCTCTGGGTTCACCGCGGCGGCTGGCAGGTGTTTTTCATCTAAATAATCTAAATCTTGCAGCTATATTTGCTGTGATCAGTGGGAATAAAGTAGTTTTAATATGTTTTTAAGTGAGAAAGTCCACCTGAAAACTTAATCATTGCAGTCTCCCTGGCTCGACCACGGGCACGGCGGGAAGACGAGAGCGTGGCGAGCCTCCCTGGCTCGACCACGG